GACACCCCGTTAATACGGACATTTTGGCATGTCCCCTTGGTGTCCGTATTAACGGGCTTTCACTGTACTTGGCACAAATTGTTTGCTCTTTGACGATGGGGTTGTTGAAGCTTCTATCCCCAAATCTATTTGACAGAAAGCAGTAAATTGTGTGGCCAATTGCAAAAATAATGTTTGTTTGTTTTGGCTTAGTCTCATCTAAAGGTATACGCACGTATCTTGTATACACGTATTCAAAATAAATAAAAATCTCTCTTGCTCTGTGCCAAGCTGTCACGCCATTGAAAACAACAATGACCAAAGAAAAGAAGAAACAACAAGTTCGCTCATACATACTAATGAGGCATACGCACATATACTGTATATGCAGATGTGCGTATATGCATACACGTATACGTGTATTCGGCTGATGTGAATTATGCGTATATTTTGGTTCGCATATACCTGAGCTGCACTGCACAAGTACAGGTAGCTCCTTTAAGCAGGTTTCTCTGTATGCACTAGCAAGAGATCAAGGAACCCTTCATCTAAGCAAAATTCCATGATAAATTTATTTGATCTAGCAAAGAGCTAACATATGACCAAAAAATCAGCTTTGCTCTATAAATTCCAAAATGGTAGTTCATGTAATGATATTTATTAATAATTGTTCAGGGCTGTCATTCAGGGCCGAAACCCGTAACATCTGTTATGGCTGAGTGTGCTTGTTTTCCCTTAATGCTACAGGTGAAATTGCCTTCTGTTGATAGAATTCACCCACAAAGTAACTAGTTTGTTACCGGTGTGGAGAACCAGGCTACAGGTGACTTAAAACTTAATGAAAACCCTGTGGTTCAAAGTATTGTTTTTTAAAAAAATCGTACAACTTTCAAACACTAAATGTGCCTCAATTGAAAGATTGTGATAAACATTCATCACAAGGGCTTTGGTGCACAATTAACAGATCCCTTATACCTTTCCTCCTTGTGCTCCTCTTACAGCAAAGCTGAAAAGAGTGGATTCCTGAGCATTGCCTTCAATCTTGAACTGCATAAAGGCGGCGGCATGCCCCTCAATTGGTTGACTGACTTTTCGTTCTGTTGAGTAAAGCTGCATAGCACCTACCACTCGGTTTTGCTGGAATAAAATCAAAGAGCTTTTTGACCCAACACCTGAGTTCATCAGTTTACTGTTCAACACCTTACAGAATTTTGCATTTGATTTCAACCTCTGATCATGAGCAGCATTTTTGCTATTTCCCCAAGGAATGCATATATAAAGTTTTTGACAGAGGAGAGGTGTGAGCCTTTCTTCTGATGGAGTCTTTTTTCCAACTTCAGATGATTATGCAGGATATAATGCTTGGCTGAAATTTCTTGCTGACAGTCTTTGCCCAAAGTGTTTTCTCTGTTTTCACATTTTACAAGTTCTCAACTTCATAGTGATTTTATAATAACTAATCGCAGCCTGTTCTTTCATATACTCAATATCATAGGTACCTGAGCTGAAATGCCAATCAGGAGGAGCCATGTGGCATCTTTGTTTGTTCTGTAATTTATTATCTGACACCCAGCAAGACTTGAATGGCGGTCAAACATCTTGTATGGCTGAGAATCACCTGATTGTGAATCGTAAATAGTAACAAGAGGAAAGGTAAATGAATCACATGTCTTTATTGTTCAATACACAAAATGTTTTCCTGGCCAATTGTTTGAACTCACACATTACAATTATGTTGCCATGATAAAATGAAACCTTCTTGAATCCAGCATTTTAGCAAATGATCATCTCTAATAGCTAGTTAAGGCTTCAGATCATAAAGCCCTTTAATTAATTTGTCATTATGATGTTGATCAGACTTTCGGTAGATTGTAGTTTTGTCCAAAAGTTACAGTACCAAGGTTCAGGGCACCAAAGACAAGAATGTTACTTAATTCACTTTTTTCCCCTCTTTTTATGTACATGTATGTACTTCCCTTCAAGCCTTCACGAATCCACTCGATGTCACTGATTGATTGATTGATTGACTGACTGACAGACAGACAGACAGACTTGCTGATGAATTGATTGATTGATCCATTGCATTACCTTCCATAGACCAGTGATAAACAGTAGTTTCTGTGACAAGAGCAAGGGTGTTGACATTAATCCACTTCCAGAAAGTGACATCCTCCACCATGGTATGTGCCTTCATCTTGCTTTTCATTTCAATGTTAAAGATCTGAAGAGTTCTTCCAGCTGGAAATGGAAGGGAAAACAGAGTCCTTGAGACAGGGCTAGAAATAATTTTCCAGCAGGCGCTGGTCAAGTTGTCCGCTCAAATCTACTTTTGCTTGCAAAAGAAATGATTTTGGCTGGAAAAATGCTTAATGTCAAGGAAGTACATTTAGCAAGCTTTCATTGTAGAAGTAGCTCAAATTCAGTGCAAAAAGTACCGAATACACAGCATAACCGCAATGTTCAGTTAAATTGATATAATTACACTTTTGCGTCCCACTATCTCTTCCTATCGCTTCTGCTATTCAATTTTTATTTAAGCTTAAGTGATTCATGCAAACTAAGTCGTTATTTTTAATTCCACTTTGATATAGAAGACTTAAGTTTTAAGATACAAGTTAACAGGCATCTGTTTCGCTTTCCACATTATGTTGCAACATCACAATAAGGATTGAAGTCAAACCTCCCCACAACTATAGAGAGGTGGCTGTTATGGGGAGGTAAGGTGTAATAAGACACCTTTTTTCAGGGGTGCAACATTTTTATCTTAAGAATGTAAATACATAACACTATCAAAATACATCTATAAAACAGAAACTGAACAGAAACAGAGACTACAGATGTGCTAAAAAGGAGGTTTTGTATACAGAGAGGTTGCCATTAGTGCACATGCGACTGTATTAGCATACACACTGATAGACACATGCCACACTGGAAGACTTTTCTTTTTTTTTCTTTCCCAATGAATCATAAATAATGTACAACTTAATTTAGAACTACAACACTGAATCAAATTTTCCTTTGAAGTGTTATCGACTAGACAACATGTCCTGTCATCCAACAGTCAACAGACATTGTCTGTTGACTAGCTGTTACGGTATTTTCCTGTGTATAAGTTGACCCTTCATGCCCACAAATTCAGTCCAAATCAAAGACCTCGACTTATACACTGGTCAAAAGTTGAGAGTAAACTCATTCATCCAAAAAGTCAGAATTCATTAGCACTACACAGTTTTCAGGGTTAGAAAATCCACAACAAACTTTGTAAGTATTAAAGCGAAATTTAAAGAGTACTTGTAGCAACACTTTTTCTTGATTTCAAAATGTTTTGAACTTACCTTTCCTAGCTTTCTACACTGCAATTTAACATTGCAGTTCTTGAGGACTTTTTGCTTAAAATTTGACAACATTACATTGTAGTGTTTTTCAGTCCGAAATACAAGGAGAAATACAGAAGGAATTTTCCTATATTATGGTAAAATCCCACTTTCATTCTCCACTGTTTTAGTTATGGGTTGGGCAGGCCAGTGGGATGTTCTAGCGCCTTGGGGATGTGACTGCGGTTGCAGCCCGCAGGTTTCGTAGGCACCTTCCCTTCACTAGCGACTTGGGCATAAAAGATCTAAAAGATCTTCTTGTTTTAAACATAGGCATGCAAGGCATGCAAGAGTGAATAACATATGCTTACAAACACTCAACAAGATTTTGCTTTAGGATTGGGATTTTTTGTTTAGCTATGAGAATTTCCTTTTCAGTACCAGCAAAATCTCATAGAAATATTGTTCTTAGAATAGAAAAATTTTGTGTATGTGTTCAAATTTTCATGTCACTCAGAAAAAAATTTCTTCAAAATATCGCCCGATATATCATGATTCTTCGCCCCAAATTTCTACGATATTTTGCATTCTTTTGGCACAGTACTGTACATATCTTCTGGCATCTTTCTTAATTTTGGAACATTTGGAAGACCTCGGTTTTATTCTACTCTAATCAAGGATTCTCTGTACCATAGACCATTGATAATGTGGCAGTCTCATCTTTTTTGTCTCTCTCTATATTTCTATTTTCATTCATTTACATTTGTTACTACGCTCTTCTTCTTACAACCTTGATAAATCTCCTGACACACTAGTATGCTCCTCAATTGAAGGGGTGAGTGCAAAACCATGCTAAGTGACGATTTGGGTGAAAAAAAAAATTTTCGCGAAAGGGCTTGAATTTTTGCATGTGGTCTTCAATGTAATAGAAAAACGCGGCCCTGTATTTTT